TGTGTGTGTGTGTGTGTGTGTGTGTGTGTGTGTGTGTGTGTGTGTGTGTGTGTGTGTGTGTGTGTGTGTTTAGTAGCTGCTACATTGGATTCATCAGAAACGTAAAGTGGGCTAATTAGTAGCAGCATGTGCAGGAAGTGACACGTTCCACCTGAAGGAGGCCACAGACGACGCTGGCGTCCACAGCTGGTCTGCAGCCAGCTATAAATCACACATGAGCGCCGGGCTCCCAGCATGCATTAGTGCGAGCGCTAAAACAAGAGAAACGCATTCACACTGAACAACACTGAGTCTGTGCGTCCTCTGCAGTGCTGCACCTTTATAAATCTGTTAAACTGCTTTCTGCTGCTGCTGCTTTCTTTTTTCCTCCGTACAGGAGAAGTCAGCCCTGCTGGTGGGATAGGTTTCAGTCAGCAGCACCTTTCATCCAACACATCCAAAGTTTCAACATCAAACACAGCCAGGTTCTTCTTCTAATAGATCCAGTGTTTGAACATCCAACAGATGCAGTTTCTACTATCCAGTCGATCTAAATCTATTCAACAAGAGGCTAATGAGCCAGTTATACCCTTAAAACATTTTTTATCCCCCACAAAGCTGCCAAAATCTCAAACTGTACCATCAGACCTGTCTCCATACCTATAACCATTCTTATGTTGGCTAATATTGATGTGGCGATCATCTCGAAACTGCTTGATTTTAGTAATCATTTTGCTCAAGTTTAATTAAAATCTGTTCAATGGTTTGAGATGCTTTGCAAACTGCCACACACAAACACAAACAAGGGCAGAAAACACCATACTTTTTGCCCTTTGCTCTCAAAATCAGTCATTTTTAAACATGGCCCGTTTACCATCAGAGTTGATCCAGAACTTATCAGGTCCAGTCTGTCCTGCCAAGGGTAGCACCCCCCCCCCCACACACACACACACACAAAATGTTTTCTATGAAAATTGTTTTGATATCAGTGATAACCTTTCAATTTATGATTAAATGCAACAAAGTAAACACATTTAAAAGTGAAAGATAATAATTGTCCTGCCTGAGCTGCTGGCTTTAAATAACAAAGCAATTTCGTTGGATAGCTCTCTGCTTTAAAGCCAGCATTGACCATAAACTACATATCCCATAATGCATGTTGATCATTCATGGGAATTCCCTGTTGGACAGTGGGAGATTTTCGAATTCAAGATGGCAGATACTCACCATAACGTATGAGTAAAATGCTTACTTTTACTATTTCTGTATCTGCTGCTCCTAAAATGTGGAACAACCTGCCTTTGGGCATCAGACAGGCCACTTCCCTGTCAGCTTTTAAAATAAAACCTATCTCTTCTTCACCACCTGAGATGTTGATTTTTAGTTTGTTTTGAGATGATTTTAATTTGTTTTCATTGGTTTTATGTGTTTTTGTTTATAGTTTTAATTGTTGGATTAGGCTTTTATTATACAATGTGACAGTTGTGTGCTTTATTGACTGTGACTGTACAGCACTTAGGTTCAATGGTTGTTTAAGTGCTTTATAAATAAAGTTGGAATGGTATGGTATGGTATGATACGGTATAGTATTTATTTCACATGTAGTCAGTTGTACACGTAGTACTTTTCAGTGTTTAAGAGGATGTATTAAAAACACTGTTTCTATGCAGGAAATACCACGTAGAGCCCAGTTAAAGTTTGTTAGCAGGGCTCAGTCATAGCAATGAGAGAAGGAACGTGTTTAGTCTAAGTTAAACATTAAACGTAAAAACTTAATTTCAACTGGCCCTTTGGGGCCACCGTAACCCTCATGTGGCCCTCAGTGAAAATGAGTTTGACAACCCTGATTTAGGTCATTATAATGGTGTTTCTCCTGGTGGTTTCCCAACACAGTCTAAAAAAGGATTGATTGATTGATTATTTTAACTTGTCCCTAGATGTGACTGAGAGAGTTAATGTCATGTTGTCTCTCTGTGACCCTGTGATGAACTTACGACCTGTCCAGGATGAAAAATGGTAGCTGGATATGATCACCAGCTTCTCACAATTCAGGAGGGAAAAGTGGGTGAAGGAGAAGTAAATGGATTGAACCTCACCCTCAGTAATGAGGACGTTGGTTCGGTCTGTTGTGGGGACGTCAGAGTCGAATATCTGGGCTTTCAATTTACTGGTCCGTCTGCCAGTATACCTGTGGTTTAGGCAGTATATGGAAATGCCAAAACCCCAATATTTTACAACTTTTTATCAGAGTAAAGTTGATTTAGCTGTAAAACCGGTTCCTCAGGTTTATGATCTTGGTTTGTGGGTTTCTCAGCCTAATATGTTACTACATGAGGTCATATAGTGCAGAGGATATTTTATGATACAAGTGTCATATGATGTAGTCAAGTCTAACTACTGGAGCTCAGTGTGTAAACAGAAAACAAAATAGGCTAATGGAAGTTTCATATCTCAGATAAAGTTCAGGTTAAAATCTGGTTTTCAGTGTTCTACCTTCATTAAATATTGAATTTATGTTTAAATAATCCTAAGAATTTAGAAAAATGCTCTCCTTTATACAGTATTAACTATTTCGATTGGACAATCTGGTTTCTAAAGATAAAAAATATCAAAGACAAAACAATCTGATTTGGTATACTGGTAGTGAGGTTTGGAAAATTGCACAAGGGGCGTCAAATTGGTTAGAGCCAGCCCAGCTTTCTTCCAACCCTCATCTACAATCAGGAGGTCTGGATCATGAAACAAAAGAATATAATCCCAGATACAAGCAGCTGAAATGAGTTTTCTTCGTGGGGTGGCCAGGCTCAGCCCTAGAGATGGAGTGAGGAGCTACATCACCTGGGGGGGAGCTCGGAGCAGAGCTGCTGGCCCTCAGATCAAAAGGAGTCAGGAGGTTCAGACATCTGATTAGAATGCCTCCTGGACACCACTCTTTGGAGGACTTCTAGGCATGTCTCACCCGGGGTTCACTGAAAGGGGTTATACTGTATGTCCTCTGGCCTGGGAATGTCCTGGGATTCCCCAGCAGGAGCTGGAGGGATGTCTGGGTTTCCATCTCTGCCACAGATGCATGGTAGAAGACAGACTGAATGGTAATATGGATGTATGGTCCATGTTCCTTTACTCCTCTTTCAAACCAACGTTCCTCTCTATCAAGGATGAGAACATCTTCATCCCTGAAAGGGCCTGTCTTGTGTGTGACTTCTCTTTCTCCCTGGCTCCTGTGTTAGTGGGGACACTGTCTGCTCTGTGATACAGAGTCCCGATGACTCCTAACTTGTGTTCCAGTGGGTGATGGGAGTGAAAACACTGATCTGTGTGGATGGGTTTGCCATACATGTCTGTTTCCAACAGTTCACCTGAAACTCTCAGACTGAAGAAGTCTGTTGGAGGAGAGACAAAATGTTTCATTAAAGAAGAACCAGAAGACCTACTTATTTTATCTTTTAGACCCTTCATATATTGTTTGATGTTTTTACGAAGCTTGGGCATTCCCCTCTTCTAAACAAATAAAAATCAAACCAAACTCTCTTTCTCCCTGAACAGGTGATAAAATACAAAATTTCAACAAACTTCCTATAACTTTTAAGCTTCTTGTTTTCAGCTTGAAGATGTTCTGATGCATTGATGTTCTCAGTACGTCTCTGAACACTGTTCTGTTGGGTTTGACTGGACCAGCATGAAACCGTCTGTTCTCGTCCTGTTTTCAGGTCCTGGTTTGGCACACCCGCACAGAGAAACCACACCTGGCAAACGAGCCCAAAAACCGGAAGGACACAGTGTTCATCGAGGTGTGATCGTTTCCACTCGTCCTCTCAGCTGGGACTGGCCGACCCTGGTTCTGGTCTTAATGGGTCGTTCGTTTGACGGAGGACTCAGAAGGGGTTTTACAATTCACGACTCCTGACCGTCAAACATCATTTTTCTGACATCTGGACCATCAAATACTTTCATGAAGAAACATTTCGTCCATCCTCAGCCTGTTGATATTAAAACTGAAGTCTAAATGTAAAAAAAAACATCATCCTGCTGAACTGAAAAGTGCCATAACTCATCTGTACCTTTGTTTTTTTTATTCTCATTGCAGATTAAGTGTGACGTTGTGGTATAAAGATAGCCCATGTTTCAAAAACCTGGGTTCTGTCTGTTTGAGTGATGATAAAATATCCTGATGTTAAAACACACGTTGGGAAAACATCTTTCATTCTTTTTAAACAAACAGTAGAGGAGTTGGCATAAGAATACAAGGGGCCCGTTGAATTGAATATGGGATTTATACATCCAGGATGTCAACTTTAAGCCAGGCTTGAACAATCCTTCATCTTTTAAACAAGCTTATTTTGTTGCACAAAAGTCGAGCCACGCCTTAACAGGGCGGCTAATTCAAGAATTGACATTTCCTTAAAGTCTCTATAATGCAAAATAAATTTGAAGCAAAGTATTTTTGACGGATAATGTGTTTAAATTGATATTTACGAATTTATTCTAATATTTTGTCAAGTAAAAGAAATGAGGCAAATGTGTTCATAAGAACATTGAATGATGTTCTTATCAACATTCATGCATTCACAAAACTGATTTCTGATTAAAGTGACCTCCGACTGCTCAGAAACAACAACGGATTAAATAAGCTTCACTTCTAACTTGGTTGGGACCAGGTTAGCTTCAGAGGACTAATTACAATGGAAACATATGTGCCTCATATTTTGTGCAACCAAATCAACGATTAGTCTGGATCAAGCCTCCCTTGCAAAAAAAGATCAGCAATATCAATGAAATTTGCCTGGTTAATAATAATTAATATTAGGAAAATCCCAGCCTAATCCTTAATCTTACTTTTGTGCAGCAGGCCCCAGAAAGGTAGTTTGGGATTATTGGATGATGATGAAAATATTTATAACCAAAAAAAAGTCATTCTTCTTCAAAAAAAGAAAACAAAAAACTACAATAGCTGAAACTGGGACATAAATACTGTGTCCTAAATTATTGCAATGTTTTAATTAGGGCCTTCCATATTTAATGAATGAGAGCCTCCCTTCATTCGAATGGCAGTACCTAGGGTTGGGTGATAAATCGGTTTAATTGATTAATTCGAATCTGCCATTTATAAAGTTTTAATTTTGGGAAAATTGAGATTTTTTTTCTCACCAGTGCACTCTTTGGGACTTCTGTAGTTCAGGGGTCACCCCAACTGTTCCTCACGATGCTTGGTACACGACATGACAATATGGCAGCTAGCAAAGAGGATCTACTTCTCAAAAAAAGGCACTGTTTCTTCACTTATCTGGAACTGGTTAGGTTTTGCAACCTCTGACTTGGAGCAACAAACACCTCACTGCAAAATCTGTTTGAAGGCTCTTGCTACAAAAAGTAAGAGTACAACAAATTTGTTTTAACAACTGAAACAGAGGCACTCCGTTAAGTGGGAAACAAAATCGATTAAAATCGAAAATCGAATTTGGGATGAAAAAAAAAATCTGATTTTTGGGGGGGCCATATCGCCCAGCCCTAGCAGTACCTATTATTATCCACCTAAAAAGAATATCTATGCACTTTATTAGGGCTTGCCATATGAAATGAATAAGGGAGCAGAGGCTCCTTCAACAGCTGGACTGTCCCAAAGTTTGGGCTTAAATGACCTAAACACTAATTTTCTTTTAAACCACTCTACTCTGATCTTAAATCAAAGATCTGCAGCTTACGCAAATGATCCCACATAGTTAAAGTTGCTTTTACAATAGTAAGGACTCGATAAGGTTCTAAAGACTCTGGAGCCATCAGAACCTACATGTTTGTTCTGGCTAACTGTTCAGCTCAGCTTTGTCACGTCTCCAAGTAATATTCACCATAAACAACAGGACCTGGAGCTGCATGTTGTGGCTTCGGTTTAAAAGCTGAGTCCACAAACCTCCATAAAAAAAGATCCAGGACTCACAACAAATCAGTCTACTTTCAGCTGCACATCATGGCAAACAGTGGTGCCAGTTAAACAGCTTCGACTTCATTAATGGTAATGCAGTTTTAATTGTGCGTGTGCTGCAAGAGTCTTCAGTTTATTTGGCCAATCAATGCACCATAAAGTATTGACCAATCACATCCTCTAATGTCACTCTATAAGCCGAGAAAGAGCCGCCTCTGAAGGAGATATGGTTAAACAGTTATAAAGACTAGAGGCAGCCATGGTGCTGACCCTGTGATAAACTACCAAACAAAGACTCAAACAGTCTCAAATGGTTATAAGGATCAGTGGTTCTGAAAACTCCTGCTGTGACATGTCAGTTCCCATCAAACAGCTGAGTTTTATGGTGAATGCAGACCGGGCCGCTAATGAAGAAATATATGTGGGGTGTGGTGTAAACGAGCCGACTGTTCACCAGACCCCAGGAGGTGTAGAGGAGTTCAGAAGAGCAGAACGGGTTTGGTGTTCAGATGGAAAATAAAGACAGGAAATAAGGATTCAACAGCTTTTATTTCATCTGACTTCCATAAAACTTCCAACAGAAGAGGAGAAAACAAAATGTCTGACGAGTGTTAGGCTCGAGGGTCATCAAGACAAACAGAAAGGTTCCAGAGTTTTTAGGGTTGAAATGTTCGAGGCTCCGGTTAATGTAAATGCACTGATAATAAACCTGGAGGACATCAGATGGATTTAATGTCTTTATGTTCATGTGGGAACCTGTGGTAGAAAGATCTGTGACTGTATGCTGGAGCTGAATGGTTTCTTTTTTTTAAAAATACTAAATCAGGACGCTGGGACCCATCCAGGAGTTTCATACAGGTCCACATGGTCCAGCTCTGACTGGGACAGTCAGAACGTACCCGTTAGTCGTCCAGGTTTATTTACCGGTTAGGTAAACAAATGTTCTGGACAGCTCACAAAAAAAACAACAACAACACAACAAAGACATCACCATGAAGGATGGTGGAAAATGGTGGTGGTGGTGGTGGGGGGGGGGGGTGTCATACTGGCTCCATCCTGCCATTTAGAGTGCAAAAATCTTCAACCACTGTGATGTGAGTAATGCATTAACAAGCCTCAGTGAGGGTGTCAGAGTTTAAACCCTGACCCAGGATCATCTGAGTCTGTCTGCACCTGGTGGGTGCACAATGGCAGTGAGATGTTTGATGGTTTAGTACAGCTATACCTCACAGGACCCCCCCCCCCCCCACACACACACACACACACACACACAC